TGATATAAGTAGGAAAATGCACAGGATAGAAAAACACAAATTATATGAAAAACTAAAAATCTGTATGTCAGTCAAACCTGTCTGTCTTGCTGAGCTCGACTCATTTCTGTGCCAGCCCCATAATCTATCATCACCTTTACACCAGTGTCTACATCGAAGGCAAATGTACTTAACTGATCAAGAAGATTTTTTTTTTTTAAATGTGTTAACATAAAATCTGTTATGTTCAAAGTTTTTGCACTGTTGCAAAAAAGTTTAACAGTAACATCTTGTTTTGACACTATTTTGCTAACTTTCAACTTTGAAATTGACTGATTAATGACACCTACAATAACAAAAGGTGTATGCACAAGAGCAAAGGAGGTACCCTATTTGTAAAGGTGCCTCAGTAGAGGAGTGCAAAATGTGGATTAGTAAAAGACAATAGAAACATTTTACTCAGTAAAGTTCAGTCATGATGCCACATTATGTGCTTTAAAGACAAAAAACAATCACAAACATACAACCTTTCAAAATGCTCTTTCACCCTTAATGCATGATCATATATTTGCACTCAAAATGTAAAAATCCCAGTAAATCTGTAGATTGATTTTTATATCTTCTTATTTGGCTTTGCATGTTGCATGCTGTTCCTCATACAGTGCAACAAATCTGGGCAATTATAAATTATACTTTTTTAGCCAAAGACATTTGGGTAGGAGCTGAAGCTACCACTCCAGCATTCAGTAATTTTAATAACACAAACACCTAAAGGCAATACATCCCAAATTATCTCTCTCCGTTGCCACTGACTAAAACTATTGCCACCAGTGCTGCTGTTGCTATCACTGCATTACCTCTCTGACCACTGTACACTGATAGTACAACCACATAACACTACCTAGCAACCACACAGAATCACTAAAGATCTTAAATCCACAATTCACACCTTAGATACCTTAGACTGTGTCCAAAAGCACTGCCTATAGTACACTCTTATCTGCTGTGTGTACACTCATACACTATGTCGTGGCCTTCCACACTAGGACAAAAAATGTAGTGTCCATGGCATGTACACTACTTTCTGCTAACGATCCCAAAATGCATCACATTTTTATAGATGTGAAAATTACAGTTGTGTAAAATGATGATGACAAGTAAGTGTTTGAAATCTCAACGTTTGAGTTTTATAGGGAGTAGTGACTGAGCGAAAAAGGGAGTGATTTTGGACACATCCTTAGCAACCACCTAGTGAAACCCTAGCAACCACTTAACAGCCTGTATTAAAGTCTAAGTGCAACTTAGTAACTCTGTAGCTACCACCTAGCAATATCTTAAAGGATCAGTGTGTTGGATTTAGTGGTTTCTAGCAGTGTTGTGGAGATTGCAACACCTTTGTTTCACCCTCCACTTCTAAGCACAAACTATGGTGGCCATGATACACACAAAAATCACGAATGGCCCTATCTAGAGCCAGTGTTTGGTTTGTCTGATCTGGGCTACTGTAGAAACATGCCGGTTCAACATGGCTGACTCCATGCAAAGTGACAGAGAAATTACTTTTTTATCCTCAATTTATTGAATGTGAAAGCTGATTAATCTTCATTCTTGAACTCCCCATATTAACTCTCATCGAGAGGTATGAGAATTTAAGGTGTTTATTTATCAGATGATGTGATTCGTATGTAAATGAAGTAGAAATCAGAAAGTGGGGTAAAATTGTAAAGTTTTTGAACAAAAGGGAACAGTTAAAAGCCTCTGGCCACTTCAAATGAACACAGAATGGAGGCCTAAAGCTGTGCAATCCTTTGTGTTAAAGGAACTTTTGATTTAGTAAAACAGCTAAAACAAGAACCTTTCACACCCAAACAATGGACTCTTTTCTTGAAACTTCGCACTCGACAAGTGAGGAGCAAATTGTACGTGTGTGTGTGGTGTGTGGTGTGTGTGGTGTGTGGTGTGTGTGTGTGTGTGTACAAGTGCGCACGTGTGTGCATGTGACCTATGTCTAACAATCACCCTGACGCATACCACCCTTTCTCTCCTCAAATAAAAACAGAGTAAAAGGAAAAGAAAAATCATCCACTGTTGAAGTACTTTACGAGATCCTCCTCTCAACAGAAAAAGGACTAAGTATCCATGGGAATCTTAGCACGTTAGGGAGGCCTTTCTCCCTTCCTCTCATCCGCTCTCCCCCGCTGCACCCATGGACCAATGCAATTGTTTATTTTCTCCTATTGAGGCTGCTCCATTCACTGGCTCTCACATTTACTCTGCTCAATTGGAGTGAGACAGCACTTATTCGAGGAGAGGAATGTAGCGTTCCACTGACAGAGCAGCAAGAATGCAGAAGAAATAATTAAAACTTTTTAAAGGAAAAGGTACAGCTGAGCATGAGGGAGAACAACATAAAATTGAACAATGCTGACTGACAGGATTTTCTGCTGTGACGAGTATATCCACACATCACCTTGACACTAAAGTGTTTGAATAACGCACAATGCTAGAGGGAAAGTGGAGGAGGGATCCTATAAGGAGGTCATTCATTTGCTGTGCTTTCTTAACAGAAACTCCCTGCAGAACAATGAAGCGTTCCCCGGTCTCTTGTAAGATGTGGCCTGTCCTCCAACCTCACTCCTCCCGGCCACAGCACAATAGCTGCAAGCTGGACCACAGATTGCATTTCTCCTGAGGTCTTTTCTGTCTTGAGGAGGTAGTCCTAATGACAGTTTCCTCTCTCTGTGACAATGGCCATGGCTGCCTCTTCTGTCTCTGTTATCTTAGAGGCAATGAGCTGGAGTCAATACCAACGTTCAGCAAAGTCTGAGGTATAAACTGAAGAGTCAAATCGTACCATCCAAACAGACACAAATACGCTATGTGGTAAAGATGAGCTGCTGATGTAGCAGTGTCGAGCAGTTTCGAGTTGGTTCAACTTGGTTTCCGTGGTAGTGATGGGTTGTTTTTTTTTATAGTACATACCAAGCAGATGTCAAAGAAAAAAATCTTATCTGTTCATCACATTATCACTAACATCCCCTGTGCTGCCTCAGAGCAAAATATGTTGAAACTGTAATATGTGTATTGTGGTGTATCGTGGCTCTGTGCAATTTAGCTAACTGGCTCATTTTTATTTAGGTACATTGCCAAATCACAAATTTGCCACAAAGGGATTAATAATCTTCACTGTATGTGACACCCTTTATCCTTAGAGGCCAGGAAAAGAAACAGCAGGAGAGACATGTAATAGAGTTTGTGTGCACAAAATGGACAAAAATAACAATATTACACTGTAGAGAAACAGAAGGACATCAGAGAAATAACCTGACTGACAACAGAAAGCAGTATGCTGTCTAATTATTGGCTACAATCATACTTTCTTTGTACAATGACACTGAGACAATGCTGAGACTGGCCTCTGAAAGAAAGTCAGTAATAAAGTGGATGTGTAAACTACAGTTCACCCGTTCAAAACCCCAAACTAACTGGTCGAAGTGAGTAAATATAAGCACAGAAAGGTTAACATGCAGTCTGTTTCAGCTGCTAAAGAAAGGGAGACTGTAGCTGCTTGTTGATCAGCTCTCTTAGGGTCAATGACAAGTAAAAGGTTGATTAAGTGAAAGCAATGAAGTGTGCTGTTGTGTTTGTGGAGTGAAGTTCTGTTATAATTGTGATCTGCCGAAGGACTGCAGATGAAAACTGACTGGTATAATTCATCAAATTAAATAACATTTATGTTTCATATTGTACTTCAAGGAAAATAAAATAAATGACCAGAACTTTTGTACTTTCATCAGTACAACTAAGTTCAAAGTGGTTTCATTACCTAAAACAATCACTGAGGCCTGAATGTACTTTCTCAGCAGAATACTACAACTTAAAAATCAAACAAAGAGTGCCGATGAATAAAGCGAAGGTGATATACCTTACTGGAAGACATGCTCTGCTGATCAGGGTACGCTTCCTGGCTTGCAGCATGTTTTCGCTGATGAGATGGAAATTCTGAGTGAAGCAAACAAACACTTTATTTTGCAGAAGATCAGAGACATTTTTGCTCCAGAACCACAGTCTGAATTCAGGCAGGAGGTCATCACATATACAAAACAGAAGTAAATCTCACCTGCCCCCTACTGGTCAGACACATCTAATACACGATCGTACAGGAAAGGAAGATCATTTGCACCAATGTAAGAATCTGTCTTCTTTTGTGTTTATGAGGCAGATGTGACAGTTCATGTGAGTGCAGTAGTAAAACACACACACACAAATAGTTCCTTGTGAAATATGTTAGCATTTAAACAGGGGATTTATAAATGGCTACCATTACAAACTGAGTAAGATACAGTATTGAAGTTCTTGTAGTTACTTTATACTTTTACTTCGCGACAGTTCAGAGGCAAATATTGCACTTATTACTCAACAAAATGTATGTATGATACATTTATTACTCTGCAGGTTCAGATGAATAATACAAAATAAATATAAGCAACAAATAAATTAGGATGTATTATAATGAATAAAGATGTTAGTATATGTTGCATAAATAAGGCCTCACCTTTACCAGCTGCAACATTAAAATAATGTACATATTAATGCATCAATAATTATAATTCACAATAAGTATTTTTACTTTTTATACTGAGAATATCTTGATGGTGTGTCTTTTTACTTAAGTACATTAAAAAATGACTTTTAGTTGTAACAGAGTACTTCTACATTGTGGTATTGCCACTTTTACTTAAATAAGAAATATGACAACTTCTTCCTCCACTGCTCATTTATAAACTTTAATAAAGTAGTGCTAAAGTACTGTCTCCATATTATACAGCCTGCTGTTCTCATAATGTTTCCTTTGTGTGTTGTAATGTGAAAGCTCGGTGCTATCACTTGTCAAGGCCTCAAACTGTGGCATTATTTCCAATCAGTAAAGAAATATTCAGTCTCTTTGACACACTTAAATCAGATATGAAAGACCAGTGAGAAAGTTTTCACTGACAGTCGAAGAAAGACAGCCCCAAGGGGAGAGAGGAAGATAGATGAAACAGCTGTCTATTTTTCTCTGTGGTTTTCACATGTAATATACCAACTAGACTAACCAGCAGCTGCACTGCAGAGCCTCTGTGTGATCTCTCAGAATGGGTGCCTACACTGAATATCCAATTTACGGGGACTACATGTACAGTGAGAACAGTTCTTACAGTGATATTGAGTTTAATATCACAGTAGACTGTCCCAACTCACACCTCCAGGGCTCGGAGATCTTCCTCCCTGTGGTCTATTACATCATCTTTTTCACTGGTTTTTTGGGCAACCTCTTTGTTATCTCAGTCGTGGGACGCAAAGGAAGAAGAGGTGGGCGGCTGGTGGATACGTTTGTTGTCAACCTGGCCTTGGCCGACCTCATCTTCGTCCTCACCCTGCCTCTGTGGTCCCACTCTGCGAGCCAGAACGGCAAATGGATATTTGGGAACGAGCTGTGCAAGCTGAGCAGCTACATCATTGCTGTGAACCGCTTCTCCAACATCTTCTTCCTCACTTGCATGAGTGTCGACCGCTACCTGGCCGTGGTGAAGCTGATGGATTCCAGATACCTGAGGAGCAGCCGGTGCATCCGTGCCACTTGTGCTGCAGTGTGGTTCTTCTCCCTGGTGCTCGGCATCCCATCCCTGGTGTTCAGAAGAGTGGACGAGTCCGATGAGATGCCCTGCTGCGTGGAAGATAGCAGCTCAACTTTTTTTCTGGGCCTGAGCTTGGTCATGGCGTTACTCACCTTTGTGTTTCCAGTGTTGATCATCGTGCTCTGCTATGGCACTATCATCATGCATCTCAACAAGCACTGTGTGGCTGCTGCAAATCCCCGAGCTGCAGCTCGCCACAGACACTCCCTAAAGATGGTCCTGTCCATCATAGTGGCCTTTGTGGTGTCCTGGCTCCCCTACAACGTCTTCAAAGTCATCATGATTTGCTCGCAGCTCTCACATGCAAAACTGAGCTGTGAAGCTTTGTCGTGGCTAACAAACGGGCTCAGCGTCTCTTGCTGCCTGGCCTTCCTCAACAGCTGCGTGAATCCAGCCATTTACTTTTTCCTGGACCATCACTTCAGACGAAGCGCCGAGATCATGTACATGACCTGCGCAGGAAAGCCAAAGCTGCTCCACAGCTACAACTCCTCCGCTTCATTCACCAACGCGGGCACCTCCGAGAGCTTTGCAACCACTGGTGGGAGAAGTCAGCTGCAGATGTCTGAGTAAACACAGCTCTTATCGTTTATTTTGAAGTTTGTAAAGTTATTGTTCTGTTATCTTTTAAGGTCTATCTGCTGTGTTCGTTTTCATAATGTGAGGCTTTGTTCATATTTCTCTCAAGGGATGTTAGTAGGCATTATCAGGACAGTGCTGTGTAGTTTTGTTTTGTTCCAATGAAACATGATTTCTTTTTTCGTATATTCTCTTTTTCCTATTATTATTATTATTATTATTATTATTATTATTATTATTATTACAATATTATTATTATATGCTTTCCATTCTGCTTA